TCAACTCTGTTTTTTAATATATTTTTGATTTTTATTAATCTGTCCAAGCCTTAGTTTACGTTATTTTTTGTACTAAATCCAGTAGTCATACAAGCTACATAATTTTTTCAAAATTTCATGTCATTTTGGGTTGTTATAGCAGAATTATTTCATTCAAAATGATTTTTTGCAACATATGTTTCTGAGGTCAAGTGGGGGTGATTCCTGTTCCGGTGGCTTTATATGGTGGTCGGAGGCATTACCATTTCGAAAATCAAAACAGCAAAAATCTGTAACAGAGATGAGAAGAAAATCGCAAAGTTGCCACACAAAAATGTGGAATGCGTTTCAGTTATTCGTAAATGAGCATCGATATGTATTGCATTTTAAAAATATCCTGAACTGCTTGAATACACCAAAATCATGCCATTGCTCAGATCGACATCGCGATAGCGTTCGTTACTTCGGGGTGCCAGTATCTTTGAATAATAATAAATTATTTAGCATGATTTCCCGCGCATGTCAATCCAGGTTTTCGTCTTGCACGATGCATGCTGATGCATTTCCATGTAGAATTAAACAGATTTAAAACAACAATTATCGAGAAAAACATTGTAACAAGAGAGAAATCTTATTATCTTTTCCCTAAAGACGGAACGTCGGAATGGGATTTTCAGATTAGGGTGAAAAAAATCTGTCGACAAGATTGTAGCTTCGCGCAAGTAACTGTTGAGTTTGATCTGGTAAAATAGATAATTGTAATGCTGTCAAGTATGGGACGACTCGGTTCTATCTATACAGTAAAGATATGACGAATGAAAAACTATACATATATATGTGTGTCACGATCTCATTGCGAGCTCCAACAAATTAAAGACAATTTGGGTAAAAACATCACACACACACACAGCGAGAGAGAGAGAAACAAAGTCAACATCATTTTATATTCAAGTCAAAACAAAAAATGATTTAAGTAATCGGGTAATGATTGTTTTAAGTGTCAATGTGCAAAACTGATAACGTTATCGAGGCTTCGGTATTTTTATGCTGTATATAAAATATCAGTTTGGATAAAGCATTAACCATAAAAATGAGATAAAATGTCAATAAAAATGCTGGTTTTACGACAGCTTGTTTAGAAACAAATTTCATCTGGCCGCTAAAATGATGAAACCGCCAAATAGTAATAGTGTTCTTAGTAAATCTCCAGAAAATGTGTATCATACAAAATGAAAACAGTTTCAGGAATTCCACATGAAATTCGTATTCTTAGAATGTTTCCATCTGATTTCATAATGATGATGTTAATTCTCACAGATTTAGCATGCACATTTCATTAATTCAATGCGTTTTGTATATTAAAGTTAAGTCGACGACGCCCTTTTGTCTATACTTGTTATAAACAAACAAAGTAACGCAGAGAACTCGAAGGGATATATTCTAAACTTTCTCAATGACAGATTATAATAATTTATACTTCCTAGAGTAAATATTTAAACAGAGACAAATGAAATATAAACTTTGTTTATTATTTTAATTTAATTGGTTCCACGGCTTGAATGTTTCCAGCTTAAATCTAATCACAGACACTTCCAACAGAGAAGTTATCTAATGTCTGGACCTAGAGATAACATGCGATATGCCACGCGGAAAGTTTCATTTTTTTTAATAAAAAAAATTATCCTGTGGACGGAGATTTTATACAAGACTGATTGTGGTATGAAGACCCCGGACAGACTGCGAGACATTCACATTTTCTACTGTCGATAGCATAAAGTAAGAAAAATACCGGGAAAATGAAATTGACCAATTGTTTTAGCAAATTGCTATAGTTTTTGTAAATTAAAAAAAATGTTTGTCTCTGCACTGATATGCATTTATTTGATTTGAGGAGAATAACATTTACAGTGCAAGTGACGTAATAATTGCTACGTGATATGTTGCACCTTTTTATACAATAACTTTAAGATAGTGTGCACCGTGTTGTTCCTGAGGCGTGTCTACAATGGATCGTGATATGAATATGATATTGGATCATTTTGATGGATATCATATTAATGCCGAACGCAACCTACGATAGCAATATTGTTCTCAAATTAATTCAATCTTGCGTATCAATTTCATTACATATATTGACTCTACATCCATTGTATATATTCTATTGACATTTTTAGACGTTGCGTTCACTTGAAAGCTTATTTGAGTTGATTTTTAATGGCAAAACATCCGACCGTTTCAAGCGGCAAAATGTATTCCGTCATTTGAGAAAGGTCATATGACTTTGATGTCGAGATATTGCCTATTACAGTCCAATAATACATTTTCAGTACATCCTCCTAATGAAAATGCCCTCGACAGCTTTCTTATATTCATGCAACTCCGTTTATGTTCCCATCGTCGCCAAAGCCTGGTTTAAACCACATTTTTAAATTATCCAGCACTATTTTCCTTACTCACCAAAAACACTGGCAAATTTTAGGTTTATAAGCCGCTGCAATGCCACCAGTCTATGGTTTGTGCTATGCTTACTACCATTTGCAATTTTCCTGCCTGCTTGTGTGCCTCATCCAGAGATTCCCAAAACCATCATTACGTCATTAATTGGTCATTTTATAAGAAGAGTAAAGAAGTAGAAAATACTGGGCAATGAATGTAAGTAATTTGAATGTAAGAATGTAAAGGTAATTTGATTTGCTTCTCAAATCCTTTTACGTGATTGGCACAATAAATAATTCCAATATTTACCTGATAGGACTGACGGGGTTATGGCGCCACCTTGCAGGTCGACTGAAACTGCGGTCAAATTAATGTGAGTGGCGAAGCGGGTGGTTAGGGATACACAAGAAATCTTGGACTCCAAACACTACCGACATGATGCGGAGCTTAGTATAAGGTAATTACAACATGGCACCACGTGTAACGAATCATGTTCATGGGACAAAATAGCGTGAATGGTTTAATATTCTGGCCATTCGTCCACCTTGCCCGTATATTTGGAATGTTTTAAGTCTACTCTATTTGGTGTGTTTTCACATGGAAACCCACATCGATTAAAGTTCAATGGTATGGAAGAGTAAGATAGCATCGTATTAATTTTCAATACAGTAATCGCTGGTCGGTTACGGCTACCTCCACCACCAAGTCCATGAATCAGAAACAAATGACTGGCTAACTAATCTTATACCCGGAATGGACTGGTGACCGGACGCGAGACCGTGGTTCGCCATATGATTAAACCGAATCATTGGTTTTCCTTTCCCCCAGGAATAGATAAGTAAATTATATCCTAAATTCATAACATATATATTACGATGTTTTATTACAAATCATTGCGACAATGAACTGCAATGTTCCAAAGTATAGTGTCAAATATTGTGTTGTTATTTATTTCCAATAATTCAAATTATTAATTATTTTGTGTTTTATTATCGCTGCTTACAACAAGATGTACAGAGCATTTGATGCATTGTGAGAAAGTTGGTGTGAGCTGGAGACCAGGGCTCTCGAGTCGAAGGAAAAGTGCGACCGACTCCGACTCTCGTTTGAATATATATATTTGATTACCTCCTAATTAGTGTTGAGAACTTAAATCAAATTTTTACAAAAAACTTGAGTGTATATGTAAACGTCCTCTTATTCAGAGCTTTTAAAACTGGATATCCCAAAAAGGCTCAGTGGGTGAAATATTTTATCGCATCGAACTTATATTAAAAAAAAGTATTGATCAATTTGAAAGATTTCGATTTTAGAACCAGTACTGACTACTGAGACACCCCATCACCGAAATATTGCCAAGATTCGTCTTCTGTGCGAGACTATGCAAGCACATCGATCTAATTCAGTGGTTCTTAATATTTCCGAGCATGCCGATCGTATTGAACGGTTGAAATTAGCCCAATGCTAACTTCATGAAGGGGAAGCTAACTTCGTACAAGGTTATAGAAAATGTACATTGTGGTTGGTATAACCTTAGGAACGGACTATTAGCCCGCTCTAATATTTCAATGTTTTGTCACTATAGTGTCGGCGGCGGGGGGAGCGTTTTTTTTATTTGCAAGTTATGCGGGTGAAAAGGCGAAAAACTGATAAAAAAACTAGCAACTTGTAAATCCAAAAGATGATAATATGCCTCAAAAACGTTGGAAGTTCATGTCATTCGTTTCTCAAACTGGATTGAAATGCGGATAAAAGTGTTCGCCGATATAGTATTCTTTGTTGCAAATTTATCACCTAGTAAAATTCAAACGCGTTCTGATTTTGCATTCATTTATGTACACTCAATGCCAATCTTCGATTTATCCGTAAAACTGAGTTAAATTTCATTAGTACGGTAGATTATGAATACGGGTCACGCAAAATCTTGGTTTGTCATAACAACCTAAGTTATTCCAAAATCACAGGCATAAAGCAACTAAAAGCGCTATCATAGATAATTACCAAGCGTACGATATCTGTGAAGATATGAGCTTTCAATAAAGTATACTAGAATCTGAGGTGTAGAACACCGACAAGTCTACTAACCTTTTTTTTTGAATATCTGCGATGAACTACAGTTATTTTGGCATAATTGCATAAGTATGCTAGGTGATAGATACGTCCCATATACAACTGTTTCAGATGACCTTCGTCGAACCCCTGGAACAGCTCCACCGAACCCCAGAAGTTCGATCGAACCCAGGTTAAGAACCACTGATCTAATTGGAGGTATTGCAAATTTTATTCCTTTTTATACTTTCTGTATTATTAAATATTACCTGACGCTTGCGAAAATATTTGGCCATGCCAAATCGGCTGTGATGAAATAAGTTTAAAGAACACTGCTTCAGTAGACTGCCAAGAACGCTCAACTTGTGCTTTTTGTGCTATAGAAAACTTGATTTCTTCTAACATCATTGAAAGTCTGAAATTTCGTCTCCGGATTTTGGGAGTTTAAAAATACGACTCCTGTCACAAGACAAACTCCGGCTCTACAGCGTTGATTCGTATCAACGTTGTCGAACAACTCAAAGATTAATGAGATCTTACATTAACTTCATTTTATTTGCAGCATTAGTAAATAAAAAAATATTAAGTATAACATAATAATAATATCGAGATATTATAGTTAGAAGCAAGGCGTAAAAAGGCCTTTTTAAACAAGCAGAAAACAAATTATAATAATAAAACAATATGTATAAGAAAATAGCGAAGCAGCAAAATAATAAAACAAAGCATATTAATACACATATGGCAACATGTCAAATATGATTCTGTGTAAAAATGAAACACTAATGCGATAGAAACAATGCAACAAACAAAAATCTTCACAAACTGATTACAATGATATGATATCATTCGAAGCAAACGTGAAAAATTTAAGGATCTCAGGCCCCATCTTGCGGATGAAAAATATTACGAACGATATATCATGGCAGCTTTACCGATAATACACATAAGCGAGCATACATAAACGTACAGGAAACGAATAACACTAAAATAACATAAAACTTACACGTAGTTGTGAGAAGCGTTGGCACAATAGTTGGAGTGTTGTGTATAATACTGTATATCTGTTAAAATGGGTTAAAATTGAAAAAAAAATGACTGAACACTCTTTATGTGAACTATAACTGGGTTCCACAAATTATTTGATCCTGGAAGAAAAATGTGATTCAAATTATAAATTCAGGGCTTAAAAATCGAAAATTAATTATTTAAGATAGGCCACACTTTGTGGTCTGATAATAGTCAGCAATTCTGCTGTTTATAATTCTAGAACAATTCAATATAGCGGCAATTTTCTGTTGCAGAAAATATATATTTAAAAATACAGAAAGCACACTAAATAGTATGAAATTTGGAAGAGTTGAAAATACACAAAAACTAATTGATGGTTCCTAATTCAATACTGATTAATTCCAAGTTATTTTTTCCGGTTTTCCTAACTTTATCTCGCTCTAAAAATGTATTAAAATATCTAAATAGCTAAAAATATATGGTAAACGATATATGTAAACCATTAAAACACTCTGTACCAAAAATAGAGAAAAGGCCATAATTTTATGATTAAAATATTTAAAGGACGGAGTTGAAACTTGATTAAAAAATAAAAAAAAAATAAACAATGCTACCCAAATAATAAAAATTTAATCTTTTTCGGACAGATGTATTTATAAAAAGAAACTTTTCGGAAAAAATTTGCAAAATTGAAAAAAAAAAACAGGAAAATGAAACTCATTACACAATGAAAACAAGTCTGAAATGAAGTGGGAGTAATAAAAACGACTTTTATGCTTGAATGCTTAGCAGCAGACAAGCACTTCTTGTTGTTATTTCAGGACGTTACGCTTAGTTAGCTTATAAAATGAAGAATGTACTTTTACCAAAATACGGGATTGTGATAGCTAAAGCAATAATTCTATTTATAAGACGTCTCGAAAACTAAAATACAAATTAAAATTCGCAAAATATGCTGGTAATGCAATAGCAAACGTATATTAAAAAATGTTCCATTAAGTATTTTCACGAAATTTATACTTCTTGAGAATGCACGCCTTTACTCAACCATAGACACGCAAAATATGAGACAAAATCGGTCAAAGATTATCTTTTTAAACAACTGAGCTACCAAGTTGTTATAAACGCGTAATAATGTTTCATAATAATATGGTAGTTATGCCTGTTATTTCATTTTATTAGTTTGGTATTCATTCTGAGTTTGCATATGTAAAACGCTCAATTTTACTTTACAATATTTCACGTGACTCGTGGGTTACTTTATGATTGATAAATTGAGTTATAAATGATTTGATTACTCTGTATTTAAATAAAACACCGTTCGAATACATTTAACGACATTTTACATCAGATTAATATTTGATCAGAGCGTCAATTATTCTTCACAAAAAACGTCACCAATTACAGAGTGAATTATATATAGCCGAGTGTGGATCAATGATAAAATTTTCATAAATAATAACGGATGAAATTTCAAAAAGTACTTAATAGCAGTAGTTGTTCCTCTGACTGCAACTGTTAAAATGAATAAACAACAAGACAGGCTAGCAGAACGTAACATGCTGGACTGTAGGATGGGATACCAATAAACATAGAGCTAATACCGGTATAAAAATTGGAAATTTATGCAAAGCAAAATAAGCTGTGTAATATAGGACAAAATAAAATCATATTCATAATTAATAAAATAAAAGATGTTTATTGACTGAGCTGAAGCAATTGTGCTCTGAGTAAATGAAATAGTTTGCAATGTATTCATGCTTTGTTCAATATTTTAGCAACTGACTTTCTTTTAATTTACCTTTGACAAAAATAACATTTAGCAGTATGCGGAGCATAAACATGGAAAACGGGCAGGCAACATAATACGCCATTTCGTAAACTGACGAAATAAAAAAGACGAGACATAACATAGCTTCTACTTCATAACAGATTCAAAGCAGAATGGATAGACACACGAGTTACCTGCTTCTGAAAAAAAGAAATTGCCATCACATAAATAATGCATAATAAACGCATGACAATCTTCCATAATTTTTTGAACTTTGTAAATTCGAAATTCGCAAGGGAAAAATCAACATGGCAGTATGTAATTTTAGCACTCGCATAGGCATGGCCCAGATCCAGGTTGCATGACAAGCATGAAACAAAGGGAAGTACCACATAATTCAACTATGTGAAGTTTGAGCATGTTTTTCCATCTACATAAAGCGGGAAATTACAGTAATAAGCCATCAATTTCTGCTACTACTGCTTCTGCGTCTATTTCTTCAATTGTGCTCAATTTTTCATCGACAGTTTTTCCATTTGCTGGATTTGCATTATTTTGAGCATTTTTCGAAGCCTCGATATTACGTATTAGCATATTTTCCTGTTCATTTGGCTCTGCTTCGCTTTGTCTGGCCGGATCATATCGTCCGATGAGTGGCTGTTGTTCGGGTTGACCAGGTTGACCCCATTGTTTACCCGCATAATCAGGGCCCTTGTCGTGTGCGACTGGCAAGAGATTTGAGGCAGAAAAGTCTTCACCGTAGTGATGTTGTGGTGGAAGATCGTGAATTGGAGTTTGGCGGTAGTCCTGTAAGCCCCCGGGGTAATAACCTTGATTTGATGGAACCATATCATAACGAGGGGTACTTTGGTTCGGAACTTGGTAAAATAATTGGGGTTGACTAGAATCTGGACGATAACGAGGGTTATTTTGCGCGAGGCCGGGGTTATATTGATTTGTGTTACTACTCGCACTGGATAAATTGCTATGAATGTCCTCGGTTTGGTTTTGGTTAGACGGGTCATAACCTTGGAGGTTAATGTATGCCCCGCCACGCTCTGGTTCATTTTGGTACATTCTGTTGTGCATGTGAGGCGTAGACATATGCATACCCGGATGATGTTGCATTCCGTGATCTTGTGGTTGAAAACTTGAATGTGATTGGATGGATTCATTATGACCTCCGACCTGACTGAAACCATCTCCAGAACCCTGATCACTGTTACCTAAATGAGCGAATTTCTGACCGGGATCATAATAGTAGGGTGTGCTCGGATCCCCATGATACCTGTGACACAAAAAAAAAAATTCACATATGGGTCACATAACTTTTAAGGTGCACATGGAATATATGTGAAATAATACAAAATAGAACAGTATGAAAAATCAACACATGTATATATTATTAATATCTATGAATATATTCAGGTCTGAGAAAAACTATTTTACTATTACTATTTTTTTCAACTTACTAATCTGTTTTTTATTTTAAATCAAAATCATTTGTTAGTTAGAATTTTGTTACGTGAATTTCACCAGAGCTTTTTTCTCAACAGCGTTTTGAGTAAGACTGACTCACGAAAAAGATAGATCTTAAAATCAAGAATATTGACCTACTTTATCAAACAGTTGAACAGAAGGTGGCGCTTTTTTAAGACTATTCACAGGTGAACAAAATATTTACCTGACAGACTATTTCAAATTTGAATCAAATTCAAAAACGTACCTGAAACCATGTGGATCCCCAGGATGGCCTTGGTACATCATGTGATTAGGTGGAGGAAGATCAACAGTTGCTACAATAATAAGAAATAATAGTATTTTAACATTTCGATACAAGTTTTCAACAGAAAAGCATACAAGGAAAGAAATAATAGTTTTTGTATCACAAACCAAATATAAAAATTTAAAACTTTTGTACAGATACTACTTATCACATCTAAACTTGTAATTTAGTCTAACCAATGATTTTTGATCCATACAAAGTACTATTTCACTCTTGGGAGAAGGAGTTTCTTTGTAATCAGTCACATTCACAACTCATGCTTCGGAAGAATACCAAAAAGGCCAGTACTGCAGTTATAGCAATAGAGGTTAAAACTACAAATGTTTTTCATTTTACAAACTTGACCGAAATATTTGCACCTATTCTCATATTGTTATCATGGGTGAGAATACCAATTCTCAAAAGCTCAGTTCTCAAATTAGAATTTTGGGTAAAACTAGGATGGCTCAAAAATTTCCTCATATAAATTAACACAAACATAACTATAGCAAACTAACAGGTAAAGAACATTACATCAGACCCAAATTAAAAACACCTTTTTTGCTAATAAATCATAATTTCAAATTTTTAAAAAAAAATTTTTGAATGTTCGTAATTTCTATTTTCGAGCTGCTTACCTGGCTGCGCAAGACTAGACGGAGATCTAAGTAAAGAATCTGGCATCCAACAAGCATCACTGTGACCATACATTAAACACTCTTCTGTGCACTTTGATGTCATCGGCATTTTTTGGTGGTCTAAAGTAAATAAAATGAAGTGATGTATTACTAGATACCAGTGTTAGATACGGTGGAAGTCTCAAAACCCCCGGGCAGCGGTTGACTTTAAGTCGAATTTCGAGTCGAGTGAATCGATGAGCTATGTCTTACTAGAGCAGACATGGGCAAAGTACGGCCCGCGGGCCAAATCCGGCCCATTGGGTAATTCAATCTGGCTCGCCTGATGATGCCACAACCAAACTGAAACCAATTTTGATGTTTTATATAAAAAAGGAATTTGTTGAGATTGAGCTTAAATTTAGTTTTCGCACGAGGCATATTGTTTTCCATCTTTGCTTTGTAACACTGTAAATATTGGTTATAAAATGTAACTTATTATGTCACACTTACATGGCCCGCCAGACTAGTTGGGCAAAATTTTTGGCCCCTGGTTCAAGAACTTTGCCTATCCCTGTACTAGAGGTTAGTTAAGTATGCTTCCGAATCCTTTAGATGACTTGAGTCACTTTGATTCTAACTCGAGTTGAGACAATCACAGAGGTAATTTGCGAATAATTTAGTTGGTTAACTCAACTCACTTCGAGTCTTTGATAAATGGTGAGACCAACTCGAGTCAAGTTAATGACTCAAACCTTCTCAACACTGCCAAAAAAATGCTACTAAAACTTTACCTCCATAAGGCATATTTTGCATCGGTATTCCTTGTGGATGTGAATAGGACATCGGAGCGTAACTTGGCAGTTGTATGAATCTCATATCTTGCGGGTCTTGTGGTGAATTTGGGTCAGTATATCTAACTGGATGATATCCATCAGCACCCACACTATCTCCTGTACCCGAATCGTGCCCGTCATGTGAAACACTGCCTTCTGATTGGAGATCGGGTAGAACACGGACTTTATCGAGTTTATCCTGAAAAACAAGAGGGTAATCCTCAAATATGTGGTGTGTACTAGATGCAATATGGAGGCGGGCTCAATGACCCAGTGGTTAAAATGTTAGACTCCACTATGTAGGTACTTACATAACGTTAGATATCAATCGATGCTAGTTTGGAGTGAAAGCCTCATGTAAAGAGGTGTACCAGGGAATTAAAAAAAGCAAAACATCAGTACCAAAAAACTTAGGGAAGTCTAAAATGATAAGAAAATAAAAGTAATAGCTTTGTAGCAATTTAAAATACTGAAAATTTAAAAATGATTGGGCCATTGATTGCAACAAAAATTTTTGCCACAACAAGAAAAACACTAAACAACAGGCAAAATGAACATTACCTCCGAAACACAAAATAGTGAATCTATCAATACAAATGCATCTATGATCATATACGATATACAGTATACAAACTCTAATCCGAAGATAAAACATATTTTAGTTTGTTGCCAGGTACCAGTATTAAAGTTCAATATTTTTAATGCAAACGCCACTGCATATCTGATATATCAAACTACTGTCTTAAAGGAAACCTTTTTCAAATTGAGGTAAAATTTGCATGAATATTTCATATAGGCCTACATATAGATGATAATATTACATAAAGAGGAAAATATTAAATTTTTATTTTAGGCCGGTCTTTGAATAAGTTTGAGAAATATAGTCACTTAGACAAAATTTGTGATAAATTTAAACAAAATATATTATACCTGTCCAATATGAGGTTGCGATGCTGTCCACTCTGAATGGAACGAAGATCGACTGTCCACTGTTCCTTGACCATTGTATGACCGACGATTGGAACCTAATCAAAATTGTATCGTTTTAATCATAATTTCACTTGAGTTTTTTAAACTGCTACACCAAATAAAAGGCCTAAAAAAATTGAAAGATGTCCAGTGGTGCGGGAATATCTAAAAGACTTATTGAATCATTATGATCTAAGTATAATATTATATATCATGTAAGAAGAATTTGTCACATATTATAATTCTCGCCTTTGCTCAAATCTGATATGAGCCCAGTATATAAGACAAAAATGAAACAGAAAATTTTGAATTCTCAACAAAAACTGAAATAAAATTTAAAATTACCTCTCTTTTTGATATTTTTCTTATCTGCAGTATCGTAGCCAGCACTATTCCATCCTGTACTATTTCCTTGTTGACAATTGTAACTTCGACTCTTCTTGTGTTTTGCACAACATTTGCATTTGATCAAAATAATCTGAAAATTATAAGGTTTCCACTTTGGTTTAAAGGCTCGCAACCTTGTTTAAGTAAAATAGCTATAACCATCATTTCAATGATCAAATCATTATTTTATCTTTAAAAAGACAATAGACTGATCAATTTTAATGTCATCCCTAAGTCAGCTATACACATCAGTGGGCTTTCTATTTTTGTTGCAAGGCTCGCAACCTTGTTTGAGGAAAATACCATTTAAACTAGCATTCCATTGAATTAGTATTTTATGATTTATAAGAAGACCATAAAATAATCATTTTTAATATTACAGTATTTTGTGTAAGTTGTAATCATTAAATTCCAAAATACATAAAAATGCAGCAATTATTTCAAAAAAAATATAACAAATGAACGTATAATTTAAATTTTCCGTGGTACTCATGTATTGATGTTTTCAAGCACATACAATCGGATTACCAGATGAAGGAACAGACGATAATAAATATATAAATATTCTGTTTCGCCCTGAAGCGGTTCAAATTTCAAACAACTCATTTTTTTGTCATTATCGCTGAATTAGGATAATTTGGAACATTTCTAACAATTCTAAACGAGACCTTATTATTCGAAAACATGGTAATAATAAGGATAAAATTAATATCAAATTTTAAAATTAAGCATTTTTTAAGAATAAAATGATGCCTAATCATGAAATTTTTGAGCGACCTTTTAATTAGAATAATTTAATCGAACGATCAATCACAGAAAGTATTTTGATGAAAAGTACTATTCAAGATTGGATCAAGTGTGGATCACTGATTTTAAGATCGGTCAATTTCAGAACAAAGCGAACTTTTCAACAAAATTCAACCCTGGCCCATATTTAATAAAAATACTTACTACTATCACTAATAAAATGATGAAAATAAGAAGCCCAAAACCGATTATAAAATATATTGTCCATTGATCTAAACTCGCTTTGTTCAATTTTGTATCTGTTATCCTGGGGAATAGAGGATTGCTTTGGCATTCTGTCATTGCATCGGTGAAATTCACATTTTCTGGGTTGTCCTTCGATAAATATACGTTTATCTGGAAAACAGTCAATAAGATGATTTGAGGTTTAAAAATCGATATGATGAACAACTTTTTATTAGAAATTCATCACACCAGTAATCCAGTATATTAAACTAGAAAAATGGTAAATCAAGGTTTGGCCCATACTGAGCCGTTTCGAATCCTGTAGGGGCTATTTTAGTGCTATCATAGAGCAGTTCAAGTACTCCTGGCTAGATACGGCTTCCACCACTATCAAATCCACATATCTGAACAAATAACTGCTGTTCTTTGTATGATTAATCCATCTCATAAGTTTATTCAGGATCTCTTAGAATAAATATAAATATCCTAGAAAATTATTTAAAACAAAATATAGTAATATCACTCACATAAGCATCTGTTGATAATCTTGGAATACCTAAGTCGGAAATCAAAATTTTCAAAACATGGCATCCCAGTTTGACGGCGGTTACGTCGACGGTCTCAGAGAAAGTTAAATTACCATCTTCTGTATCGATTTCAAAGTAATTTCCTTTGTCGCCATCTGCGATAGTAAAACTCAGTTCAGCGTTCACACCCTCATCTAAATCCGAAGCTTGAATCTGAAGAAGCGTCATCGGTTCATAAGAAGTGTTTGATTCTTTGTAAACGACAATCGACGACCAATCTGATATCAGAGGTTCTTGTAATCCACCAGGCGGTGGCGACACAATACGTGATTCTGCTATTTCTGATTTTCTTTCCGAATTTTTATTAGGAATTTGTACGAAAACAATATCCTTTTTTGGATCAGGAAAAATTACAAATGGATGGTTGTCATTTATATCCGTTAGATAGATTTCAACAGGAACGCTAGCTCTACTGCGTGGAACTCCACCATCTGTAGCAACAACTGATATTCGTATCGGTCGATCACTGTAAATCTCTCGATCCAGTTTTGTCTTGTTGCCATAAAAATGGATAAATCCTGAGAAAATTTAATAAAATATATAATGAAAACCAAAAAACGTAACATAGTCACAAAGATATAGGAAATAACCAACTCGAAAGGAATGAAAAAGCCATGTTTTCATCATTCCATAGAAAAATAAGGTTTTGAAAAAAAAATCATATAAAAATTGCTTAAATTATTTGAAATCAATAATTGGATGCTTCTATTATGAAGCTACCCAGTGTGAATACAAAAATAGAAGAGGAAATTGTTAGAGTGAAAATTGCTTGAAAAAACAGACTTCAATATAAATTATATTGATCAAAAAAGTTATGAATAAACAAAGAAGTATGTGAAGAAGAAAGTACCAGTCTTCTGAAAATAGGTTATGTTGTAATCCTGTGTTATATATATAGAATATACAAACCAAAAAAACAGTAACCGAAACCAACAAACTTGATCATAGTATCGAGTATGTTATGTTTCACAGGAAAAATTAAATATTAAAATTATTGCTAAAGTATTTTTCTAAAAAAGAGTTTGCTTGTATTTGTATAGAGCAATTATATGAAATACAATTAAAATAAAGCTTACGGTATGTTTTTTTAATATCATCTGTCAAGTTCCCTCATATCATACCTGTTTTGCCATCGATTTGAAACATTTCAAGCCATAAACTTTCGTCTTGTGAGCTGGTAACACCATCCTCCGATTTGAATTGTTCAATTGTGTAGGTTAATTTTCCATTAGTATCTTTCGACCAATCATCATCTGTGGCTTTGACTTGGCCAATGTATTTCCCATCATTGCTGTGTTCATCGAGACGAAACATGTACGATTGTTCCTCAAATTTGGGGGCGTTGTCGTTTTCATCAATGACGGTAATCTAGATAAAATATTGTTTTTATTAAAAAAAATAAAATCAAATTTTGAGGGAAAAGTGACTATAAAAGTCAAAATTTATGTTAGATTAAGTTTCCTACTAATAATTGACAATTATTGAACAAGGGGGAGAAATAAAACAGGAATTTCGTCAGTTTGGTCTGTTATGTCAATAAATGTTTTAAGAGTAGAGTACCAGTTCGATACAAATTCAAAATAGAATTTGGACCAATCAATAATTATTGACCACAAATGAAGACTGAAAAAGTAAAAATAAAACGAAGTGAAAAGGATCCTATAATATTGGATGGGTGCCAAATTTTACAGATGATAAAAAGCAAACATGGCGTACGCCAAGTCCACTTGAAGCGTAGTGGCAAAGATGGCACCAGCACTGTCATTTAAAGCTCCACTATTGTTCGCTAATGTTGATAAATATGATGGAATGCTTGTTCAGAAGATAACAAGTGGATTTCCTAATTGAAGGAGTTTCGAGTGTAGACCCTTGAAAGAACATTTCAATCAAGCATAAAACAGTGACAAATTGAGCTATATAGCTCAATTTATCACTGTTCCATACTTGATTATGACTTCAACTTTAAAGTAACCTATCATCCACAAGTTTGAGGTCAGATGTTATATGATTCACTATAGATTGTAGAAAAGATAAATAAAAATTTCCCGAGAACGTGAAAAGTAAATTTCTCCTGAACAACAGTCATGAATATGTTATCTGAGATTACCAAGGTGACATTGATGAAATAATTGCGTAATTTTCTACATATCATATACCTCCACAATTCGAAATTTGTCTGGAGATATTCATTTTGATATTTTCAAAGTAATAAAGTATTATCTACACCATACACAGTTGTAGAAAACATTTAAATAGCATGGAGAATGTTTCAAATTTGAAAAATTTTGAATTTGAAAATATTATGGAGAAATAGGTGCTCTTTAAGAAACTAGTATTTTAATCATAATTTGAAGCAATTTCACTAAAGTATTTCAATAAAGAGGTATAAAACCAGAAAATATACATTTTTCTAAATTTCTTAAAACACCTTTAAAAAGTTCTTCCGTTCGGGGTAAAACCCTTGAAATACTAATTTTTTCTAAATTTCTCAAAACACCTTTAAAAAGTTCTTCTGTTTGGGGTAAAGCCCTTGAAATACTAATTTAGATTTAGTTTATATAGTACCTTGATAATAAAGAAGGACTATCGCTTCAAAATAGGAAATATTGGTTGTTTTAACTTTTAATTCAAAAATAATAACATTCAAAATGTAGGATTTTTTTTCGAGGAAATTTGTATGGCAGGTACGGTACATTAACCTATCTAGCCAACCAATTTGATGAAGAAAAAGTTTTTTTCTAGAGGTACAAGTTCTGAAAGTTCATTAACCATTACCCACAATTCATTTATCCAAAGAAAAACAAATCCGTGCATAAAAGATGAGATTTACATATAGCTATCATCATCGCTAACAATGTTTTGCCACTGCGAGACAAAGTGAAATATTGCATTCCATTATTGCGTCATACATCAATATTCAATATAATTTCATCAAATATTTTGAAGAATATTTCAATCATCATTTTGCATAATAGCTTATGATGCATATTTTCTGATGGATTGTTATTAATTATATTAAAAAAACCATGATATGAAAATCCTATTATCATATTAGATGCGTGTAAGAATTTTAAATAATAATAAGAAACAAATACGGAAATATAGAGTTCGATTAGGAGCGTTATAATGTGCAGGGAGGGAATTTATTCGAAGCATTTTTGGCAAACTTTTCGGCGCTAATTTGACAGATATCGACCGAGGTGGAGTTGAAATGCATGCTAAATTGGTTTCTATGGTAGTAGAAAAAATTATCTAACCCCCAAAAGTTGAGGTGTTTTGATAGATTACTTGATCAAGTATAGAATGTATATAAACTGTGCTTGTGAAACGTGGTTTAACGATGTTCCATGCTTGATTAAAAGAAGTTATCGTTAAGTGGTATGACCTGTCGAAGTGGCCTGGAGACACCATGGTTCTCTTGTACAATTACGTCTCTGTTAAATTATGCATACATTTTTGAACAAACGAGATCAGAAAATACTTATCGATTTAATTTAAAAGGAATATTTTATGTGTAAAATAGAGCATATAAAACCGCACTATGTCTCATGCCTACACAGCTGCTATTGGCAACAGAGTATGTTTTGTGGTCTCATGCAGACTAACCACTTTCTATTCCATGTGGAATAAACCGCTGAATATTAAATAATGTCAAATTTTCACATTTGAAAGTCAATCTTATCGCATGACCAGAAAAATTATTTCTTTTTGTTATTTATTTCTCAAATTGAGGGTATAATAATTTAGTTTATATGATATATATAAAATTTCATAAAAATTTTATTTAATGGGACAAGTCGTCAAGATAGAATACATTCATTCACCAAATAACAAACAGATTGATAGCAAAATATTCAAATTTTTGTCAATTTAAAAAAGTACAATACCTTCAATTTTGTTGTTGCATTTAACGGTGGTTTTCCATTATCCTTCGCTAAAACAGTGAGAAAACCTGGTTCTCTGATTGTTTCTGCGTCTAAAACATCATCAATAGCAAGTCGAACTTCACCAGACACAGGATCTATTTCAAAAACTTTTGTCAGAGGAAATTTCTTTTTTCCTTTCATGATTGAATCTTTACTTCGTAAAAACGTATATGTTATATTGGAATTCGGTCCTGGTTTTTCATCCAAATCTGTAGCCTGGAAAAATAAAATATTAGCATTAAATGAAAGAATTATTAGGCTAAAATTCGCAAATATATATAGACTCATTATAGAAAGTATAAAATTGTAGTAGTTCAGCCGTTGTGTATTATTTTTGAAGTCTTTTTTACACAATACACAAATATAAAATATAGACGTTTTGAGAATGGCCGAAACTTCTATTGAAGTTTAAATCCTCGAAAATCATATCCAACATAAAATAAAATCACAATTCTAGACGAGAAGACCTGAGTTATAATATCAGTAAATCAAACGGATCAAATAGAAACATAAAATAAAACATTATAAACAACATGAGACCCATTTGTTTTATATAAATATTGGTGAAATCATAATTTGTATTTTGCATACAAAATATTATGAAGTGTGCTTCAAAATTAAAAAATTGTGCCAACCCCGATATGTCTTTCTAAATTTAAATGCTGATACAATGCACAAGAAAATTATCATCATTGCTTAAACAAACCATGACATTCCTGATTATAATAACATGAACTGCTATAATAAGTCTTGCGTAAATGAGAATTAACAAACGCACAATTCTACTTTATTGTCTCAGTAACTCTTGGCACTAGGGTAGACATCTGTAATTTTACTCAGAGATTGATCTCTTTTATTTCTGAGTGAGCACGGAAACTCTGAGTGAATCTCCTTGATAATATTTGAAAAATGTAATTTACATTTTCAAATTATTTATTAATTTGCATACAGCAAATTTACATATAACTATGAAATCAATCTCTATACACAGTAATATATTTCCATATAATATTTCCTCTAATTGAAAGAATAAAATTAATCTCAAAGCACAACCATACTGAATTGACATCACATTCCCAAATTATTTAAATTTTCCAAATTATAGAAAACCACAAATAGGCATTAGACCACCCATGGGATATGGATAGGTACCTATACAAAACAATACAAGGTATTTCTTTGTTGGTGATGTAAATAGAATTTGAATCCTATAAATATAAATGGCAGTTTTAGTCTTTCATTACAAACAATTTTTAATACAATTTTTTTTTTTTTATGTGAAAACACATAAATATAAAAATACAACAAAGGACCTTGTGTTTGCGCTATATGTGAAAATTAGATTTCTTTAGACAGATTTATAATTTTCAATTTTCATTTGGAATTCTTTAGTAAAGAATAGTATCCGAGTGACTGACAATGCAAAATAAAACCCCTGACAGATAACTTAGCGTTTTATTAAACGTTGGACTTAATTACAGTATGTTGGCATCTAAAATTAAAGATACCAGGTTCAAATTCCAAGCAAACGGAGACTCATAGTGGGAGATTGATTACCGAATTGTGCTATGGCTTAGCTACCAGCAAAGTATAAATCCTTATTACAACACCATGTTTCATTGAACCTAAGATTAAATAATTATTAATCAGCGGTAATCCTTTGTGAACAAGCTAATAACGCATGAATTAGGAATTGACGTTGATACTGTTAGTCAAGTATTTTTCAAATAAACCAATTGGCAATTATACAAATAGATAGATAGTATGGTATGTTTCATTCGAATGCCTTTACCAATAGTGGAAATAGGTGAATATAATCATTATGAAAACATAGTTAAATTACAGATTTATTTTTACAGTTATATTAGTGTCTTATGTGTACCCCATTAACAATCACAACACAATTTACTTGTAACCTTTAAATTCACGAAAACGACCTTACAATGAATTATTGGTACTACAATGGGACGTAAGTAATTAGACCTTGTATTAAATTACCAACTAATCCTATATACATGGTATCAAATCACCTTTACATATATCAAGTTTCCTATATTATCGCTGAGTGATATTCATTTGAGCCGCGTGCTATGGGAAAACTGGTCAAGCATAGAGGTAACATACCAATGTGCCATTTTTAAAATTGCTGTTAAATTTCAGCCAAAAATTGTTTTGGCAAAAAAACACATAGTTTGAATGAGTATTTTCAAAATTGTCATTAAACCTTATGAAGCTAAGCAACTACACACAAATTTCTTTATTTCGGTCGTTTAACCACAACACCATTGTTGCAAAGTGCAGATAGTAATAAAGGAAATAATAAGAATGCATCATTTGTGGTGAATATTTCCTATTGGTTAATAAGGATGCTGTTCCCAAGCTTGCATTTCAATATCTCCAAGACTATAATAAAGCACTAGTTTTGTTCCCAGGATATTAAAATCAAAATAGTTTTAAATGAAATGTTTTTAATGCAATTGTCAATATGCCAAACTGTCGTATCAATTAAATTTTTCACTCCTCTTAATACAAGACAAATTTTCAATATTGGCAGACATACAAAGAATATAATATAGATTCAAAATTCAGAAATTCAGATTTTTTTTGGGGAGGGGGGCGTATTTCCCATTTCTGCATTGAAATGGCCTAACTGTTTAACAAGAAAAAAAAATTACACTAACTCTATGTGTATCCAGTTCTCATCGAAAGTAAAAAATATAAGTTTATCAACCCACCTTTAAAGTCATTATAACAGTTCCAGCCGTTGCTGTTTCGCTGACTCCAACCCTGAATTCATTATGAAAAAACTGGGGTGGGTTGTCATTGATATCTCCAACTTTAATTTTCAGTGTTCGGCTATTGGTCTGCGATGGTTTTCCATGATCCCAAGCTTCTATGTTTATATAATATGAATTCTTTTCTTCTCTGTCAAGAGTGCCGACAATTTTCAAAAGGAATCTGTAAATGATATTATTTTAGCTTCTAAAGTATTATATGTTTAATAAATAAAAATCAACAGAATATGCCTAAATTAACAGTAATAATTTAAAATTTGAAAAGTCGAAATGCAAATTAAATCAAAATTTGGTATCAAAAATTAAATTTTCTATGTTCATACCTGCTTGAGTTATCCTCAATGCTCTGCAATGAAAATAATCCTTTATCAGCTATTTTACATGATACAGTGCCATTGTCACCCCCATCCTTATCCGTGATGGTAACAAAAGCAATGTATGTTCCCATATCAATGTTTTCCATAAGGATTGCATCAAAACCAGAATCTCTTGGAACTTTCCGAACGCTGTCAGTCGTCATAAAACTAACTTCGATTTCCGGTTTATTATCGTTCACATCTTGAACCTTCACAGTAACTGTGGTGTATGCTGACACAGCATTAGGACCCATATCTGTCGCTTCCACAGTCAAATGATGAATTTGTTTCGTCTCAAAATCAAGCTTTTTGCTGTTTTTTACAGATATAACTCCAGTTCTTGAATTGAGGTCAAATATCTCTCGATCGTCCACACTCACAACACTTGGGAACTTGTATACGATTACACCATTGATGCCAATGTCTTTATCTTTTGCATTGAGCTGTAATATGAAACACAATAATGATTGAATAAAAAAGGTAATCAGAAGATTTACAGCTAAAATAGAACTCAGAAAGTGGAACTTATTAACTTTAATACTAGTAATCAATGATTAATCATACTTATTGCAGTATAACAATAGTTTAAAAAAAGGGTTATGATATAAAATTTTCACATAAGTACCGTACATAAAAAGGAATTGAAGCAGTGACAAAAAATAAACCTTTGAATATATGAAAACATGAAACATAACAGACCAACAAAAACACTGGTATGTTAAACATTATAAAAAGTTGAATAAAAATTTGAAACATTACCTCAATTATAGTAATACATGTATATATGGTAATAAGCGAACAAGTCTTACTAGTTATGCATGTATTACTATAAATACGTCAAGTAGTAACCATTTCCTATTACCTGAATTATCTCTTTCCCTTTTGCTTCATGTTCGTCAACTTCAACGACATACAACGATTTCGGAAAAGTAGGTGCATTGTCATTCGAATCTGTTATGTTAATCCGCACCGTAGCTGAACCTGTTAGAGCAGGCCTGCCTCCGTCAACAGCTTCTAATATTAATTCATGTATGCCTTGTCTTTCCCTGTCTAAAGATTTTATTAATTCCAATTTTGGAATCTTAGTTTCATCAATGTTTCTTATGACACCAAGTTTGAAATATTTTTCAAATGAGCGTGAACCAGTTGCAGATTTTATTTGGTACGTTTGTATGGAGTTTATTCCGTAATCTGGGTCGACAGCACTATCCAATCGTATGCTGGTGCCAACCTCAACAGCTTCTGACATCATTTTATTTATAATTTTATTTTCAAATTTTGGCACATTATCATTGTTATCAGTTATTTCAATTCTAATATTAACCATTTTGAGTGATGGCAATGAAGTCTTTTCTCCAAAAGGTAAAACAGCTACAGCAATTTCAATATAACAATGTTCTCGATTGTCTGGGCATAGTTTTTCACGATCCATTTCTTTTTTTACTTTTAATACACCAGAACGAGTGCCGACTTGCGTATATTCCATTCCTGATAAAATTGTATATTCACGTTGCTCAGTACTTGGCCACTTTAGTTGATGTGGTATTTTTACAAGCGTTGTACCATTTCTCGCCATTTCAGCAACTTTGAGTGATATCTCGCTTTCTGCTTTCGACAAATTCATCAGAGAAAGTAGAGAAAAAAACACTAAGAAAGATGACAGTTCCATTTTCCCCATTCTTGCGTAGATGAAATTGCTCAATGTTTCAATGTGTAGAAAAATAATTTTTGAAAACTACATGTAAATAATATAATAATGTGGTATGTACATTGCTATATTTCTGTAAATAATATTACATCAATTCAGGTATTCGGTTATTATAAACAGTTCACGCTTATTATTATTGAGGTGTTGCTTAGAAAAAACATACAGACATAGGCCTAGCCTGACTTCTTTCAGTATTTACCGGTTTGCATGTTCAATCAATGCTACATGCAGACGTGCTAGAGATTTACTGCTGTTTAGTCTTCAACCCTACTGCATGCAGTACTGCCCTATCTGCTTATTCCTGTATTTTGTTCTTGGGAATCAATGGAATAAGCATGGAATTCAGAGGAAATGTTGTTATATTCCTTTTTAGATTCTTAATTCTGAGAGATTGAAAAACTTATACTAGGCCTATATTCTTCTGTTCTTAAACTTAAAAGTATCAACACTATCAGACTATAGTTCAGATAGTTATACAATAACAAAAGACATTCTGACATTAGTCTAAAACTATCTCTCCTACAGCCTTACAGCAGTCGAGATTATGATGGATTAATTATCTTCATCTTGTACAGTTGTATCTCAATAGACCTACAGCAATATCTACATATACAGACAGACAGATATATATTTTGCTGAAATATACCTGTATACCGTAACTGCATATTCTGATACCTGTAACTCTGCAAGTACAACCATAGGTACAACAGTTCAGCAGTACGGTACAACGTACAACAAATGAATATGAAAGCTTGGATAAAATAATATATTTCTAACTTTAATGTACATTACATGCAACAATACAGACATCAACAATTACAGATTTAGTCATGTATCTGTGTATTGGAAGCCTCCGCTAGTCTAGCTACTCGACTATCAGACTACAGGAACTAATACTCTCGTCTGCCAAAAATTCCCGAACGTAATCCAGCTGCCGCTTGCGGTTTTTGCAAATTCCGCATGATGTTTGTTTATTATATCTGGCGTTCCCAACTACATTGTTTCTATGATGAAACCATTCAGGCCTGACGTAGCCGGATAAGCACTTACCTAAAAGAAGTAGTAAAATAAACGCTAATGATACTTCAAAAAAGTGTAACTACAAACAAAATCTTTTATATTATGCTTTACTGAGAAATTTGACGCAAATTTAACAAGTTTGAAATGTTTTCATAGTAAATAATTGCTGATTTTTTCCGAATTGTCGCTCTATTTCTAATCGATAGAAATACTTCATTCAACGAACATTACCCAGATATAAAGCAATACAAATATTCAAGAGGTACTAACTGAACATGGTAGTTTAGTGAAAACAAAAAATTCGGTCAAATTCACGCTATATTTACCTTTATTTATCAATACATGCACTAATTACATCACAATTAAATTGCGCGAGAAATACAAGTTATATATTCATATCTATATGTTTTATCTATAATTAGTTTGTAAAGCATAAACACAAGCTTTCTAAAATAGTCTGTCGTTACAAATACATAAATTTATCTGCTGCTTCCTATAAATCTGTAAAAAATTAACAGCGTCAAGATACAAATATGATTAGATAGACTATCTATATCGAACAAGTTGAGAAAATAATATATTTCCTTCAGTATAGACTATATTTTACAAGAAATGTCTACGTAGCCGGAAAACTACCCGTTATGCAAAAACCTCAGACGAATCAAAGTATGCACGCTGCAAATGACGCTCACATTATTCTCGCACTTCATTATGGCATACAATGTGGAAAAATCAACGAAGATCACTGATTTCCAAAACATTAGAATCATATATATATTATCTCATCACATTTTCAGTATACGTTACATTCCTGAACATGCCACACTGTAATATTCTATTCTCTTCCCGTACTCGTATAGTCTCGTTGCAAAAAAGAAAATTTAGATACCCCTTTCTGGCATCGTATAATTAAACGGGACAAAATTATGGCTCGTAAAATTACGTAGGACTGTAATTTACTTATTTGATTTTAAAAAGCAATTAGTTCCGATAATATACGACTATCTCAATAAACATCCTTCAATTAGTTTTACAATCAGGAATATTGAACATAAGTTATTGATTTATGAAACTCCCGACCGGAATATTCAAAATATTTTAGTGCTATAAGGCGGTATCGTGTATTACAAAGTTAACTTCAGCACTCATTTTGGCTGTCAAATGTTTCTTCTGTTTATGAGACAAAATATATCCCTAAACTTCAGAAGGGTATGAGCGCCGTGCTTTTTCGTTTCAATCTCTGATAATTTACCCACCCTCTCTCTCTCTATCTTTTTCTTAGATCCATCTGACCTCTTCAACGTTCTATCCCATGAACCCGATAGCCTGAAACGTCATTCTACGTATATTGTGTAAACTACAGCAGAACATTAACATAAGGAAGAGATGGAATCGACAACGGAAATATTTTCACGCTCCAGTATACGAATATAATCAAATAATAGCGTGGACATCGACATTACAGCCACATATGGAATTTGGCCTGTCTACTATGCGCGTGACGAATTTCCTTTCCCCAATTGGAATATATTCTTCAAGCCTAAATGATTTTTATTCTTTTTAACATCAAATACTTAAACACGATTAGGGAACTCTTATCGCATTGTAATGCAAAAGTGGACTGTGTTATTTACTTTGCTAATGGAATAAAATGTTGTATTGATTAATAAGCGATTGATTAACACCTTTCGGCCTTTCATTCATATTTTATGAATACACACTAATCTTTTTAATCCTTCAAAAATAACCCACACGATAACACCCACTTTTCTAACCAGGTATAAAATTGTTAATCCATAAATCCGTTTCTGATTCCTTTGAAACTGGCTTTACGCAATTAGAAAGTGTTGTTCAAATTCTAAAAATTTACTTTTTAATTAAGCGGATGAGGATATTCTTTTTACAAACAAATATACAAATTAACATTGAGATATGACAATGTATATTTTATGTCGCAATATACAGCACAACTTTTCTTATTGTACAGATTTACAGAGCGTGATTTTATTGTCTCCATTTTGCGATTTATTACATTGTAGACACGAACGCGTACGTTTGAATTTGTCCAATTCAAAGGCAATAAAACATTGTTTGCTGGTAAACGAACTTGGATCAAATGTGAATGCGAAACAAAGAAGAAGTTATACCTTCAAGTTTGGTTTGCCTGTTTCTACGACTACACTAGACACGAGTCAGCGATCTTGTCTATTATTTCAGAATGATCACATCGATAATTATAGCAAGTCTGGTTTAAAACCACCTTATTTCCTCAAGCCCATAATAAAAATATAGCTTCAAAATCTGTTTGAAAATTAAATTAAATTTCCTGCATTTAAAACTAACAAACTAAATATTATGCATAACTCAAAAACGTCACTTCAGCGTATTTTCTTCAAACAATGCAAAAACGCCCAAGAGAGGCTTATTGTTCCACAGCATAAATTACACCCTGCGATAAAATCTTTTTTTTTTCGAAATAATGGCGTCGAGATTATAAAGCGGAAAGCAGTCTCGTCGTCGGCGTTATGCTACAAAACTTATCTCCGCTGTAAAACTAAACCAAAAAAAAAAGTTGAAAAGAAAAGAAGAGCACGCTACAAATTAGTTTAAAAGATGTTGTAATTTTTCGCTTCGCCGAACCTCCGTTCCGCTTCACTCATAAGCTAGTGTGTGCGACGAAGCGCCTCCGGCTAAGTGTTGGTCGATATTTTCACAGAATAATAGTATGAAACACGGGGAGAAAATTACAACGTTAATCGCGCAGAAACCTCGACTTTAGAGCTTTATTTTCTTCATTATAAACGTTTACAAAACTGACATTTATACTTATCTTACTGTTTACCTTTTACATATTACAATATGATCCTTTCTTCGAAATATATTCATACAAAAGCCTAGGCAGTTTATTTGAAATCTCATTTGAAGAATTAAAAACGGTCCATGTCATAACGTTTGTTGCTCATACATAATTTTCATTTTCACGGTTTTGAACCGTGACTTTGCCCATTGTAATTTTTAAAAGTAAACAAGACCATCATTGTCACCAGTTTTTATAGTTTATAGTTATAAATTAACTTTGCCAAGTATATATAATATGTAACGAGTGCATTACACCATCGGCCCTTTCTCGATAGAGCTCGAAATAAATAATTTTGGACTAATACTCTGATACATAGTATGAAAGACAAATGTATTATATGTTCGTTTTAAATAAACTTTAAATAATCAGCAGAGAACATTGATTTTGAGACAGGCGTCTCTATTTAGCTTAAGTTTTGAGACTGTTTATTGAAGCCTTTTAAATCCAGCAATGCTAGATAAAAAAGCTCCTGCTTCGTTCTTTTCGCGGGTGTTCCACTGCAACAATGATAACGGCTTTGACCATCGTTGGATATTACTGAATCAATCATGTTCATCCCTCAAACTTGACATCCGGAATTTCTTTTGTGTGAAATCACTGGTGTTGTGTAAACTAAGATGAGAAAGACGATTCTTGGGTTCTCAATCAAAAATACTTCATGCATAACGATTACTTCCGAATTCGAAAGATAGATTAGTAAATTATGTATTATGACATCATGATGTAAGGACGGCATTTAAAATGAATCACAACAGTGTCATATATCACCTCGGCCTACGCTGTAATCGTTGTGCTTGAGGTCATTAACATGAAATCTAATTGATACAATTTCTTATATATTATTGACAAAACCCTCGCCAAAAGATTTCCTTATATATCACAAAAAAGGTTTTATTCGAAGAATTCATATTTTATATAAAACTTTTTTTACTCCAAATTAATCGATTATTTTAAGAGAAATAATCATACTCGAATCATCCGTGCTTCTAACCGGGTTTGTTTTGTAAGTATAAATATTGGGGAAGCTAATTGTGCTTCAGGTCGCCAAATTAGATGATTATGTAGTTATATCATTGTCGTTCAAATTTATAAATTTATCGAGTTTCATAATCTATTCCAACTTGAGTTTCCTACTCAAACACCAATGATATTCTTATACGGCGCTTATGCACGCAAGTCCTGTACAAGCAAACTATGATATCTAACGATAAGTGGGG